AAAATATGTTCACAGTGAACAAAGTAGCTTAAGATAAGCGGGTGGCCTAATTGACGGCCACCCTTTGGGAATTGTGACATTCACCCTCAGCCACTGAGCGCACGCCCCACACAGAGCGGTTGTCAAAACGAGTCCTCCTCCTTAGCGCCTGTAGTGCCAAGTAAGAGCAAGTATAATAGGATGATGTAATCAGGCTATAAGGATTTAAATATTATATTCTTATTTAGTTGGAAGAGAAAGAAAGGAGCGGGTTGCAAACTAGTAGCCAGCTGCAGCACGTGCTTCAAGAAGCATTGTGAGAGAAGATGGGTCATGTAGTGATAAAGTAGTAAAATCTTATAGCACACTATTATATGAGTTGGCTCTTAAGTTGGCTATAAATTACATGGCTACTATATATAGCCAACAGTTAGCTCTACTATTAACCATGCCCTAAGGCAAACGGCGCTCACATAGGCGCTTATTCGGGTGGCCTGATAAATAGTTTCCTACCTCCGCCCGCTCGCTACTTGCCTACCTCCTTTTCGCTCCCTCCTTGCTCTTCCACTTGACGGTCGATAGGTAACTGGTCAATTCTGGACCATTCGAGATTCGACCATTGACTTAAAAAAAGTTCATGAAAAAAGGGAAAATTAAAAAAAATGACTCTTTTTGTAAATTTGAAACAAAAATCATGAAATTTGGAGGAAAAAGAAAGATAATGAACTTGAGAAAATGTTCACGACTTTGAAAAAAAAGTTTGAATTTTTTTAAGAAGTCCAAAATTTGGACAAAGTTCAACTATTATGAAACAAAGTTCACGAATTTTAAAAAGGTTCATGTATGTTTTTAAAAGTTCATACCAATTTGAAAAAAATCATGAGCTTTGGAAAAAGTTCACGAATTTCTAAAATCCAGCAATTTTGAAAAAAAAAATCACAACTTTGAAAATAGTCCATGGATTTTTAAGAAAAAGTACATGGATTTTGAGAAGTCAATGAATTTAAAAAGGTTCAAGCATTTAAAGAAAACAAGAAGAAGAAAAAAGAAAGAAAAAGGAACCAGAAAAAATAAAATGAAAAAACAGAAAATAAATAACCCGAATAAGAACCGTCCGAAAAACCAAAAAAAAGAAAAAAAAATCACCGGAAGCTTTCAGAATTTTCCCAAAACCGGGAGCTTTGCGTGTGCTTCAGTTAGTGGGCCGGGCTGTTCAAAAGTACAATTGCGCCGGTTAGTCGGCCGGGCCCGGCAGCAGGACCTTGTCCCGGTCGTGCCTTCTGTTTGGCTGGCCGCGATGGGACTAATGACCCCCTGGCGTCTTCCCGGCGGCGGAGCCTTGTCCCAGGCTCCCAACCATGCCTCCCCCTTGTGCTGGTTGTGGTGCGCTGTGGGGGTGGATTCGGGCCTCCCCCGGCTCATTCTGTCCCGTGGTGCCCGTCTGTGGTGGAGCGTCTAGCGGCGCCCAATGTCATCTCCCCCGGTGATTGGCGCGGCTCTTCTTCCAGTGGTTGCGGTCTCGGCCTGCTCTGGCTTTCCGTGTCTCTAATCCTGATCCAGGTGCCTTTGTGATTGTGTGGAGTGTGGCCGGGGGAAAGCCTAGCACGGCTTGCCGATGCTGGCGGCAGTGACACCTGCGGTTGTCGTTCCCTTCTTGAAGGTGCTGCCATGGGCTCCTCTCCGCGCCCCTACACGAGTATCGGGTGAAACCCTAGATCTGGTTCGCTAGATCGAACGGCAGCGGTGACTCGATGTTGTATCCTTCATTAAGGCGCTGTCTTGTTACTCGTGATGTGTTCGGTGATGGATTTGATGACTTCAGACGCTTTGCTGGTCCGGGCTTCTCCTGTTGGCGTGGGTTTCCGGGGCGCTATGTACAGTCTCGACGACGCTCTCTCCATGGCTTCTCCTTCGGCCAGGTCCTGCACCCCACTTGCCGTTCCTCTAGGCGCATAGGTGGGAGGTACGTTGATCCGGTTCGTCCTGGAGTCCGGGTTGTGCGAGGTTGGTGCCCGGCGTTGGTCGCGACGTGGCCTAAATACCTTTGTTTCTCTTGTCCTTGCCTTGCTGGCTGGAGTTTAAGTTAGGGAAACGTTTCCACCCGGTGCGCCGGCCGAAACGTTGGGCCGGACGCACGCGGGCATTACACATGGTGGGGCCAGGCGGTGGTTTTTCCTCTCCCAATCCCCTTATCTCTTCAAGCTTTCACGCCCCAGCACACACAGTGTTCGCTCTCCTCCACTCATTCCCCTTCCTTCCTCCACTTTCTTTTTCCCTTCCACCTTTCCACGCCGGAGCACAAGTCAAGGACATTCGCCGCTTTTTTTCGCTGCTGGCCAAGGCCGTCCTGAGCTGCGACCGGCAAAATAGAGGAGTGGCGGCGCTGCAGATTTGGAGCAGGAAGAGCGGTGCTGTGGAGACAACTGAGATGCGATGCGGGGACGTGGGGAGGAGTTGCAAGGTTCTGCAACCGGTGGACCTGGAAGCTCAACTGGCAGGCGCGCGACCACGCCGGCGACTCCTCAATGTTGTAACCGGCGGAGTTGAAAGCTTCTACCGGCGTGCTAAAAAGCTACGACCGGCAACGGCGGAAGCTGCAATCGGGCGGCCATGCCGACCACGCCGGCGACCACCGATGTTGCAACTGGCGGAGCTAAAAGCTTCTACCAGCGAGCTAAAAAGCTACGGCTGGCGACAGAAAAGCTGCATCACCAGAAGCTGCAACCGGCAGTGCACCATGGCCGGGGATGGCGTCCACAGGATGCTACGCGCAGCGACGCGCGGACGCTGCAACGACCGGAATGAGATGCTGGAACCGTCTATTCAAAAAGCTTCCGCCGGCGAAAAGGAAAGCTACTGCAGAAACAACTGCTACAACCCAGCGACGACGACAGAGTGCTGCAACAGGCCAGCAAAAAGCTGGAAGTGGCGATTGTGATTGCTACAACCAGAGGTGTGACATGCTGGAACCGAGTTTGCCACTGCTGAAAGAACTCTGCCACTCCAGGCCACCATTCGTTTTTGCTACAGCCATAGATGTGCCGAGCTACAATCACCGTGCGTTTCGCTGGAACCAAGGATCATCAGCGTTGGAACTGCCCGTTTTGCTGCTACCGTAGATGAGAAAAGTTACAAACGGAGGCTCGAGATGCTGGAAGCGACAAATGCTACAAGCAAGCGAGTGGTCTGCAAGGGAGCTCGTTGCCGGCGTTGTGCTGCAGGGTCGACGGCCGCGGGGCACGACTAGCTCGCTGGATAGGTGCGCAGGATACAACCATGGCTAGCTGGCGTATGCTCACGAGGGAATCCACCAGGGTCCAAGCAAAGCGGTGAGGGAAGGTGCAAAGGATAAGGAACGAGCAGCTACAAATCACCCAATCGAACGGGCCTGGTGCGACCGGCCAAAATTTCAGCCGGCGCGCCGGCGCCTAACGGTGGCCTTTAGGAGAGCTTTACGCTGTGTTGTATCCCTTTTTGTGTTTCCCACACCTTGTGTGTGGTGCTTCTCTTTTTTTTCTCTTGTTTTTTTTTTGAACACATCTTTTTGTCTTGTTTACCTATGTAATTTCTTTGCTACCTATTAATGAATGATACGCAAGCTTTGCATATTGGCGGAAAAAAATATAGCAAGGACCGGTCCCTAGAGGCCACCACGAGGCTGTTGCCGTCTGTCTTGCCAATCTGGCCACCTCTAGCGGCGATGAGGACGGGAGACGCCGCCGGTAGCAGGGATGCAGGCCAGGAACCCAAGCGGTGTGCGCGCCGGCGGCGGCGCGGCCCGGAGGCGAGTGTGCGATTTTGTCCGCTGGACACGGACACCCCTAGGTAACTGATTAACTTTCTCTTCAGCGGCATCTCTTTACCTCCCGATCCTCCCATCTCCAATCGCCATCAGATTTTGCAGGCTATGAGTGCATTACCAATGGAAATTGAATTGACTGTTTGCTATCAATGCCAATCGCCAAAAAATATTATGCCCTCACCTTTTTTTCCGATAAAGAACGTTTTTATTAACTCAAAATGTTGCCCTCACCTTCTTTTAAGAAAGAAAATAATATCACGAAGATATCAATTACACCCGACCTCTATACCAACAAGATGTACAAAGGCATAAGAGTAAACACAGCCAAAAAAGAAGAAAAAAAGAAAAAAAGACCATGCCATTGCCGCGGTGACAAATCACTAGCATCAGCAGCCCTCTAACCATCACCAAAGACAACACTCAAAATACAAAAGAGATTCACCAAAGACAACACTCAAAATACAGAAGAGATTCTTCAAAAGCAACACCTCTAAAAGGAAAACAATGCACAAGCTGACTGAACAAAGTTTGAGCTCACCCAAAAACAATGCTTTCAACAAGTCCATTGCCAGATATAACCAATAAAAGTCTGCCCTTGTGTTTTCACCCTGGGATTGAGACTCGACAAGCACCATGGAGCTTTTTTTGAGTTCTCCATGTGAGAAACTGCATCAGAGAAACTCCACTCTGGAGCACTTACTATCCCAAATTGCATCCGAGTAGTACGAAGTTTCCCGAAAACTTTAATCACATAAACCATGTTACAGTGCATAGGTTGTTGGCATTTGGTTTTGTCCTTGCCAAGACCTGCACTATTCTTCAGAGAAACTCCACAGTGCAGCACACATCAGTGAAGCTCTTATCAAAACCACACACACACACATACCAGGTTCATTCATGACAAAAGGGGTGATCATCCAATTTCCAAGGCAGAGAGGAGAAGTGAGACAGACAACGAAACATTGCATTGAACTCTGATGAAAGATGAACAATATGGGCAGGCGTTTATTCCACGCAACAAATGCGGCTGGCATGAACCAGCGAGCACTGCCCAGGACCTCACAAATGTGCCGAGACAACAAATTAACACACCCCACGACCAGACCAAATGGAAACTACGGTAGACAGACAAATCATAACGCAGCCGACACTTCACCCTCCCGCTGAATGCGCCTCTTCATGCCCCATTGCACCGCGCTAGTTGTCGGAGCTCTCGCCATCAACTGCCAATGGAACTGCAGCAGCCTGGATTCAAGAGAACGTATAAATCGTAAGGGGGTGTGCCCAAGTGGACATTGATATATGTTGCCTCTGTTTCTCTTTGACGGTTAGATAACTTACCAGGCTGCGGTACTTCAGAGCGTAGAACATCTCCAGGTAACGGCGAGTCTCGCGCCTCTCCAGGTTGCTCACGTACTTCCAGAACCCATACACGCCGGTCAGGGTCATCAGCCTCTCTGAGTACAGCTTCCAGGTGTACCTGATCAATCCAAAAATACAGGATCAGTATTTGTTCAGAGACAGAACTTAAAACTATCTGGCAGGACAAATATTAGAATGCATACTTCTCATAAATTCTCTTCAGGCCTCCTTCAGACATTTTGTCCCAGTAGCTTGGATCCTCGCTGCACTTCTCAAAGAAGTTGACCAGGATATCTGCGGCCTTGTCGCTGTGGTAAGGATCAATGTGCAGGCCAGACACCCCGTTCACAATGATTTCAGCAGGGCCACCGTGGCATGTCGCAATTGTCGGCAAACCACATGTCATGGCCTCAATGACAGTCAGGCCAAATGCTTCATAGAATGCAGGCTAGAAACAATTGAAACAAGAGTTTAGTCCAGTGCAAACTCAAGGCTGTTTCTTTTTTCAAATGTTGATCACAGAAGAATATGAAGTGACATGGTGTATACCTGCACAAATGCTCCCTTGGTGTCACAGATGTAGCGGTACAGCTCACCATTGCGAACACGGTTCATCTGAGCAGAGATCCAACGGATATGGCCCTTCAGCTTGTACTCCTCAATGAGACTGTACATCCTCTTGAACTCAGCCTGCTCCTCCCTATCCTTGGACTCCTTGCCATGGTCACCAGCAACAATCACAAGGTTTGCCAAATCCTTCAGATGAGCATTCTTGCCGTACATCTCAACCAAGCCAGTCATGTTCTTCACACGGTCAAGACGGGCCATTGAAAAGATGATTGGCTTGTTCCTGTCCTTCAACACAAATCTGTAGAAAACAAATTTAAAATGGTTATGCTTGAATGGAAGAGCATGCACACCATACAACAGAACATAAGCAATTGTTCAAAACATTGAAAGCACTACTGTAAACCAGGTGAAATGCGCTAGTTATTACATCACATAGAGGTGAGTACTCACTTGTGTTCATCGTTCTCAACATCGCTGTACAGGAGCTCCTCAATTTCAGAGTGGAAGGCAGTGAGCCTCTTGTCAGTCTCGGTGTATGGGAAGTAGACAGTCATGTCTGCTCCAGGAGAGACGATGTTGAACTTAGGATCAAACACATCAATCCCATGGACAACCCGGTACAGATCAGGAAGGGTGAAAGCAATGTGAGACTCATATTGGCCCACGCTATCCTTGCTACAAAAACAGAAGAAGGACGCATCAGATAAACATTTTAATACTGTCACAGCCAACAATCTTCTACTGAAAATAAAGAAATGTTACCTTCCAGCGATTTCCTGGAATGTGCTGGTAATGATGAAATCAGTGTGGTTCATGGCAATCAGGTCAGCTGTGAATTGGCATGAAAAGTGGTACTGGCTGTCAAATTTGTCCAAATATATGTCTGAGTTGGGGTACTTGGTTTTCTCCAAGGCATGGGCAATGGTGCACTGTATTCGTGTAGACAAGAAACCATAAGTATTTTCGCTAATCAAAAACAAAACAAAAAACAAGGCTCTCATATACAGTACAACAAAACCAACCTGGGTAACTCCCAATTTATGTGCAAGCAGAGTGGCCACAAGGTTACCATCACTGTAGTTACCAATGATGAGATCAGGCTTGGTCTGCATTTCCCTCATGAGTTCGTTTGCAACATCCTGTGGCAAACCATGCATGATCTCAGAATACAGATACTATGTTTTAGCTCTGTGGGACGCTCTGTCAAATAAATATTTACCTCGGTGTATGTCTCCAGGTACGGCCAGACATCAAAACGCGAGATCCACTTACGGAGGATCCCATTCTCAGTTCTGAATGGAACACGGAGAATGTCAGTGTGCTCAGTTCCAATGACCTTCTCCAGCCGCTGGCCACATGTGGTTCCAACAGCATCAGGCAACAACCTGGTTACCTGCATCAAATAAAATTGGGTGGGCACATTTACCAAGTTAGTCACAACACACTGACAAACAAGGCCTTAGAAATTGCAACATCCAACATTGTTGTCTCAAACATACAATGAGGATCTTGGGAGTTATATCAAGGCCTTGCTGCTTAATCCTCAGAAGCATCTCATTCTCCAAAGCCCGGACTTGATCCAAGATGTACACAACCTGTAAAACAGTACCATGGCAGATTCAGAACCAGAAAGCCTGGAAATACTAGGTAACAGAAATTTGATTTCAAGCAGCTTTACCTGGCCACCGGTATCAGGGTATCCCAACACATTGGATTGAGCAAAGTATCCATGCGGTGACAGGATGACAACATTGAACATCATCGGAATAGTTCCAAGGAACTTCTCCAAGCTGGCAGGATCAGGGGCCTCAAGAAGGTCCAGAAGCAAATGGATGGTGTCGTGTACCCGCTTTGCGGTGTCACCCCAACCCTTCTCCAAGCCAAGCTCTTGGAACCTGCACTTCAAACCGTAAGCTGCTATTCCATTTGCAGTAGTTTAACCTTGGCTACATGGTACGGACAAGTTGCATAGAAATAACCTGTGGTTGAATTCAGAGCTGGGGGTGTCTTCAGGAATGCTAACTAGATATTCTTCTGCCTTCCTAAGGGCTGACTGGAGACCACGAAGGCTCTGAATTCTGTCGTTCAACATCATTGTCTGTAATTGAAAATGACATTTTATTATCGATAGAGCATGGATCAAATCATTGTTAGGTTCATAAGTGATTTATGAATTCAAGCATTCCAGACTGGTAGGTTCCACGTATCAGAAGCTTACCGTGCCCTTGTAGTTATGGGCTTTCAGGAAGTTGAGCAGTGGGTAGAGGCTCTCCTTGTCCTGGAACAACTTGGAAGACAGGTGACGGTTAAGGAACTGCACCCCGTTTCCGATGGACTTGGACATGGAAGGGCGCGGGAAGGAGGCATTGAAAGGCTCAAAATCAAGCTCTAGCACAAACTTGCTGCTGGCACTGTTGTCAAGAAAAATACAGAAGGTTATTCACTACAAGTAGAATGTGCAATTCACCTACAAGTGCTAAGATTTGATCCAGAAACTTACTGCTCGTCGACAAGCTGCTCCTTGAATGCTAAGTATTCAGAAACAGTCAGCTCTTCCACAGCGAGCTCACTAACATTCACCCGAATGTAGTCCCAGACACCAGGCCTGGGCCTGATGGCAAGTGCAACCCATGGGGGCAGCACAATTGCTTCCTACATTTACATCAAGGAAGGAAATTAGAATGAAATTCAACTGGCAGGCACTTGAGCAGGAAAGTCGCCGATGTTACCTGCGCAGCACGGAGGATGTCCTCAAACGGTGCATACTTCTCCTTGTCGGATTCGAACAGGGCGTCAAACTCAGCAAGCAGCTGGTGGCGCTGAAGCATGCCCTTGCCCTGGTGAACATACCTGCAAAGAGTGGTACTTTTCAGAAAAAGAAAGAGTTCTGCACCTCATATTCCTCCTACAGCTGAACTATGTGAGCAGCACTACCCTGTCTACCAGATTATACTGAAGTCTGCCTAAGAAGAAACAGCATTTCAACATGATCTAAGAAACTACAACAACAATTATGGAACTGAGGGAGTATCAATGATATGCATGCATCACCTTCTAATGCTGATTTTGATGTGCTAAAAATTAATTAAAGATAGGGATGAAATTTGCACCATGTCAACATGTTTTGGTAGCATAACAGAGATTAGTTAGCTTCACATACAGGTAGACATATGTTTTGAGATCCTCACCTGGAAAAGAGTGCAATGAGCTCATTGGGATGGGAGGAGAAGGTGGCACCAAGGCGCTCCCTCAGGCTGTGGAGGCGGGTCAGCTTGGCAGCCATGGCTCAGGTCACAAAACTGGAGAGCAGGGTAAAGATCAGCAGTCAGCCTTGGAGAATCAGAACATTTACTTGCCCAAGAACCACAAGTCAACAGCCACTAGGATATCAACACTAGTCATATTACTGCATCACGCAAAAAAAAAATACTACTGCAAATCAAGACTAATCAGAGGTGAAACATTTAGCAAGACTGGTAAAATCTCACAGATCGAAGAAATCAAAGTAACGCAAAGGTAAAGCGAGCATTAATCTTGCGCCTAACTTAACCAAGCACCGATTCCACACCAAACCAGTCGTTCTCTGAAGATGTTTCTGAAGAGAAAAAAGGGGCAAACTTGAGCAAGTGGGTTTACAGTTTTTTTTAGATCATCCATGCGATTAAGGCCGCAAAATGGCAGACAAAACCGAGACACATTTCTCAGGCAAGATCCCAGGCTAACCAAAAACTTCTCCCTGACCAAAAATCTGCTAAAGATGGCTCTAAAATTTTCTAACTGGCTCAGGGTAAAAATTTGGGGGAAAAGACGAGGAAGAGTACGCTCAGGAACCGTGCGAGGAATCTAGGAGGGATTCGGAGCAGAGAAGCCGAAAAACGCGTCAGCAAGGACCGGCGCGGGATTGAGGTGACGACCCACCAGAAACGAACCGCAAGACGTGCAAGAAACCCCCGAGAAAAACTAGCGCAGCAAGAAACCAGCGATCAAAGCGAGTGACTACCAGATTTCCGGCGAGATTAGCTACGAATCCGAGCAAAAGCACACCCAAGATGAGAGCACGGGGGGGTGGAAGGAACTGTGCTGACACCAGAGGCGCGGACAGACATACCAATGGGGAGGCAGTGCAGGGGAGAGGCCAAACGGAGGAGGGTTTCTGCAAGATCCAGGAGGACAAATAAATAGGCAAAACCCAAACCCCCAGTGGTGACCGCATTGGAGGGACAGGTGGTGGCTAGCTAGCTAGAGTGGTATTGGTATTGGTATTGGTAGGGCCGCCTCAGCTCACAAGCTGACATGACAGACATAGTGGATAACACCGAACTATTCTTCTGCCAAATTACAAAATACTGGCGGTACCTATCTAATGGGGTCACTAATTGCGCAAGGATCCAGTTAGCATATGCTGTGCCGTCTAATGGCTGCTTTTCCCTAAAGTGCCAAGCTTTTTTTTTTTTGGGAGAGAGCATAAACTGCTGCACGTCGATCGATTTGGACAGGTACAGGTGCAGTGGACTCAATGACTGGATGGGGAGAGCGGATGGGTTCAATCGATGCAAATATCAAATTGGATTAGGTGGCGAAGAGGGAAAAAGTTTGGGATTTGACGGCGACGGGCCTAATTTACCTAGCTATCACCGGCACACGCAATGAGATTGTCGTAGAAGAAAAGCAAGGGGATTTCTTCACCCTGCACTAACGAGTGGGGCCCTGCCGCAACAACACAAATCCACAATCTAGAAGCTTGGTCTACAATCCGGAGGCCAGTGGGCACCCGGAGGAGAGAGCGTAAAGGGCATGTGCCGAAATGATGGGGAAACACCAAGGAGGTGGTGGGTTTTAACGGATGCCAACCAAGTGGCAATTTCTTTAGAGGTAGTAATAGCAGATGATCTCTATAGTAGTAGCACAATGGACGGAGCATAAAATGGAAAGTTGGTAGGAATAATCTTTCTGCGGAGAAAAGCAGCGGTTCTTGTTCTTGCGAAAGGAGAAATGCACTTGAGATGCCCGTCCGGACAGCGAGGCCGCGTCGGCGATGCCGGGACAGCCCTACGTTCCGAACAAGAAACAGGCAGAGGGCATCGCATCTCTTTCGGTCGTTAGAAGAAAAAACAACGAAGATGCCAAGAAGAAAGTGTGTTCTGCTTCCATGATAGAAAACCCACCCAGAACCAAAACCGAACAGAGGTTCTGCACTGCATACAAACTCTAACGGACCGGCATTGCGCCGAACAGAGGGAATAGCCAGGGCACATTACCTTGGCAAGAACACACCACGAACGAACTCGACGGAAGGGAGCAAGATGGATGGCTTGTGTGGCAGATGACGGGGATGGGAATGTGACGAGGTGTGGATTGCAGGTTGCAGGAGGGTGCGCGTTTTATAGTGCCCAGAAAGAAATTAATCCTGGCCTGCGCAGCAAGCCATGGACGGACGACGGACCGTGGTTTTGGATTAGGACGGATTTAATTGCATTCCATTGTTTCAGTTCCCATGGGCGCCGACCCGACCGAAGGATGGAAAGCGCGGCGACTCACATGGTAACTGATCCAAAACCGCGGAGGCGGCTTCCGGTTTTCGCACGATCCCCGCCTCGTTTCTTGGTTTTTTATTACCACCCGTACCTCGAGCTCGAGGGTGGCCGTGACTTTTCGTTTCTTGCGGGGTCGATCAGCGCGATTGGTTGGCGGGGCTTTCTGAAACCGCTGGTGGGTTTTTGTTAACTTTTCTTTGGGGGCAGGAAAGAAAAGTCGCTTTCGTTCGCGGCTGTGTCTTTCCACGAGAGCTGCTGCACAGCTGCGGCCTGCGGGTGGCGTGCCTGTTTCTGTTTGTGTGTATGGACTGGACTGCTCTGCAGTTCGCGGGCCAGACCGTCTCGATTTCGTGCGTGCGGCGGGTGAACGTTGCTTCTTTGAAATAACTCGTGAGCAGCCATACGTACGTGCTTCTGGATCGTCCCACGCGATTTTGGTTTCTCATTCAAGTCCGGTCAGAGCTGTACAAGGTTGGTGCGGTGTGTGCCCCGTCGGTTTGGTATACTCCCTCCGTAGAGAACCGAACGCTTTCTTATGCATACTAATGTACATTTTTTTTCGAAAAGGGGAACTCCCCGGCCTCTGCATCAGAACGATGCATACAGCCACATTTATAAATAAAATAGGTTCAACAATGTTTTAGAGTCGTGAAACAAAATAAAGGCGAGCTCACATAGAGCCTCAACGCCAAAAAAAGAAAAGGCCATAGAGCCACAACCGGCTGGCATAATAAAAATAGGAAAACTAATCGCCTATCCTATTACATGACCGTCATTCAAACCGGTTGAAGATATCCCGCGCTACCATCTCTCACCGGACAGATCCAGTAACTAAACGCGCCCTGGCCTCCGTCGGAGTGAGTAAGGACCACATACGGATCAGCGCCGTAGCACGGAATACAACCTGCAAAAAATGAATAGTAGTTATTCTGTTAAAAGCCAAATCATTTCTGCAATTCCAAATTGCCCATAACAACGCACAAACTCCTACACGAATGTGTCTAGCTGTATCGGACTCTATCCCCTCCAGCCACGTTCCAAATAACGAACCGACCAAACTCGGAGGAGTAATATTAAAGGCAATTTGCACGGTGCGCCACAGAATTCTCGCCAACGGGCACTCAAAGAAGAGATGCTTAATGGTCTCGTCCCGACCACAGAAACTACACCTAGTAGATCCTGTCCAATTGCGCTTAACCAAGTTGTACTTTGTTAAAATGACTTGTCTATGAACAAACCACATAAACACTTTAATGTACATCTCGTGTAGCATAGGGTTTCTCTGCATAAAATCCTTCTAACATAGTTCCGTCATCTGGAGTTATGGTTAGATGATGTAGACATCAACAGATCGTACGTCCAAAGAAAAGATTAAAGACATAGAAGAAAAGTCTGGTTTTCTTATCAGTGTATGTCATCTTCAAGCTCGGGGACAAAATGCTAGACCTTGTCGATGAATGAAATGTATGAAGCTTCGATAGGCGTTTGATTTGGCGGACATAAATTTTCATCCATCACATATCGTCGAGTGAAGTATGAAACCTAAGAATTTTAGACAAAGTATATTTCGGTAATACAGTATAATAAATGAACTGTGTACACAACTTTATGGATAGGTGTATTGTTTTCCAGAGCACACTCGGCTAGTGATATCTTGGTATGCCAATGGGAAGTTGTGCCACAAGTTTGAAAGTATGTTGCTGGTTTTTCAATGCTGGAAACTTACGTACTCCAAATATACCGAGTTTGAGAACGGAGCACAGCAAATTCAATCGCAAGACCATCTAGATAAGCTCAGGAAGAAATTGACCCGCCTCTACGAACAATAGACGCGGAAGCGGGGCCACGACTCATGCAACCACACAGCAATTTGTAATTGCTTTCGTATTTGCGTCTCTCTGAATTCATTTCGTGCCCCGTAGTTGACGCACGGAGTTGTTTCATAACTTCGTGACTCTCGGATATTAAATTCAGTCATTAATTTATTATATTATATTTCAAATCCCACATTAAAAAGTATTTTTTTTTTCATTTTATTGTTGGGAAACATATGTGGCTGAGTCCATGCGTTTTTTGGGATACAGGAGTATGTTTTATTCTTGCACTTTTCTTTTACATTATGTTAATCTGATTAGAGAAGGGAAAGAGAAGTTGAAGTTTTATTTACGAATAAGGCTCTGCATTTATATTAAAACACTACCAACAACACAAGGCATTCCAAAACAAAGGAATTACAATCAAGTCCTCGAAGACCAACCTAAACTCAATCCCCGAGCCAGGGCGCGCTTCTGCTCTATCGTCAAAGTCGGCCTGACATTTCACCTTGTGGTCGGGAAGTCATCATGCTTAGGTCAAGTTGAACCAACTTTGTGGTGAAGTGAAAGGACATTTTCATCCATAAGAGATTTTGATGTGGATGACAGTGCAATTTGTCGTTTAATCGTGTGCCTGAGCTATACAAGTATATTCGACAAAGGCACAAGACGATTAGGTTCCCGTCTCAAAGGAAAAGAGCAAAGACAGTGTTCCAGCGATTTATTTATTGAGCCGTAGAAAAACTGTACTATTAAGATAAGAGGGGGTCTCCGTGGGAATGTATGAGTAGAATCAAACACGTACGCACAACCAAATTTGCACCCACATTACCTTCCCATCATTTCAAGTTCTCCATTTTCCTCAGTTGCTCAAGTTTTTCTCTACCCGGTAGTACGGGGGTAGAGGGTGGTATTGTCGCTCCCTTCATGGGAAC